AGGTTATTAACCTATAGCGCTGTACGTAGTGCGTATCTGTGATGAGAGTGACGCTTGGGGCGGGTAGGTGTGGTCTTGTGTTGCGCGTGTTGACTAGGGACCCTACACTCCCGCCGCGCGGGTGTGTTGTGCATCAACACGCCCACCGATCTTTCCGACCCCGCCACGCACTTGCCTTGCTGCCTGTCGCCTCTAACCGTGTGAGTACTACTTAAACACGTGCTTTTGTTAATTGTGCGTGATTGAAGTGTGAGTCAGATCCCACGGGTTTGTGCGTCGGCGCGCCGTGTTGTGGGTGTGGTGTTATGGTTGTGTGTGGGCAAGCGTCAGTGTTAGTATGAGGTTACCGTTTACTGCCCGTCAGTGATGATTGCAGAATGCATAATACGCTGATCGCGGTCGCGTGTGACGTGTGCTGCCTGCTGGCTTTGTGGTGCGCGTTGTGTGCGTGTCCCGGGGACCTCGCTTGCGCACGCCTGCGCCGCGTGTGTGTGTGTGTGATGTGCGCTACGCGCGCTCGTGTGTCGTAGAGTATCTATATGGAATCCAGCCTTTATCAAATTATATTAAATGGTTTTATTTCTTAAATAAAGGGAAGCGAGGTATTAATTGCAGTATATATCATAGTATATTTAAGATTATTCAAATTTTTTAATCTATAAAGTCATTGACGGGAGTCCTTGCTTCTTTTTTCGAAAATCTAAAAAAGGCGGGCAATATAAATAAATAAGAAATAAAGTAAAATAATATATAATAAAAACATCTATGGGAACTGCTCGCTCGCTTCCAATTAATTTCCTCTTCAGTAAGATGCAGCCTTCCTACTCCGGCTGTATCCCCGCCTCAGGAATTTAGGTGTTGCGTTCTGTAATGATACCAGAAACACCATATATACTCGATCATACTTATATTTGTACTTTCAAAATGTCTCTAAAGCCGAAGGTTTAATGACGTCCTTTCTTATAATGTGTACAGTTCCTCAATAAATATTCTTATTTCAAGCGTGGAATAGTTTTTATAATTTCAAGATATTTCGTGCACACGATCAGCAATGCCTTGCTATTTTTTTATCTAAGATTATTGGCGCGAAAGAGCAAAATACAAGAAAACACGATTTAAAAGTAGGGAGGAAGAGCACCTACTCATGAAGTAGTATGAGTACGGAAGAGCCGGGGTGGGCATGTGGTTAATGAGGAGGCGCCGCCGGCAGCGTAGGTGGAAGGAAATGGAAGGGGGAGAAGGAGGGGGAAGAGGGGAGGGAGGAGGCATTCGAGGAGGAGGAGGAGGATTGAGAAGAAGGGGGGAGGGGGAGGAGGAGGGAGGTGGAGAGATGAGGAAAGGGGACGAGTGGCTGGGAGAAGGACAAGGAAGGGGCAGACGGAGAAATAATGAGGATGTATATTGTGGGCATTAATTACAGGTCAGGGTCCAAAATTCATTTGGAATAAATCCCAGTGAAATCGGCCCGTCGTTCCAAAAAATGCCCCAGCCACACAACTCCAGTGACGACGACGGAAAACTTAAACAGAAACTGGCATGCAGTGCCCCTTTCGTCACTGATCTCTACTATACTAAACTATATATATAACTATAGTCTATATACTCTTTAGTATTAGTAGATCAGTGCCCCTTCGCTACACTAAACCGAAGCGAGACCGGGGCGAGAACGCGATCTGTCGTTGGAGGGTTTGCTCAATAACATAGCAGATCAGACAGGCGGTGAGAATAAACATCGCTACTGCAGCCCACGCTCTATTGTATAATTATGCGCGGAACATGAGTTCGACTGAAAAATGGAATGACTGTAGGCAATTATTCATTGGATCGAGGTTATTCGGAGTCTCTCGCACGTCGTGACCGTTGCTCTTCGTTTCGAACTCAGTACCAAGCCGAATGTTACAGAGAGGAAATCGAAGGGGACCATTAAGCTGTGTGTTTGAAGATTCTATTCTGAAGTACAAGTCGTATAGCTGTACATGATACATGTACTGATGTTAGCCCGCACAGACTCTGCGACTTGTTCATGGCGTAGTTAGGACTGTTTCACTTTTCTCGCCATGTATAGTTTAAGAAAGCTGAGGAAGAAAACTTACGATCGCCAATGTACATGTAAATGTACAATCTAGGTATGCGTGTTAAAGGTTCTAACACTATTCATACATTCATATTACATTCATGATGCTACTGCTCCCGATAATTAATCCCCAGTATAAAATCCAGATAGATTATAATAAGATAATAAATGTGACATATATAGAGAAGAGAATAAATCCTGTGCATCACCTCGTGATATCTAAGCGTGCCTTAAAAGTGGAATGTATTTGCACCAGATAGGTAGTATTACTATTAGGTCATGACCAAATAAATCGACAGGGATATAGGACAGAGACAGGTCTAACGTGACTGACCAGACCACCGCGCCACACACCGATATTGGTAGCCATAGTGAGACCACACATGTTTATTATGTACCATGACAGCAATATTGATTTCATTCGCTTACAGCGGGATCGCCCATCATGTCTTAAACTGCACGCGCTTTGGCGAGGGGGAAAACAAGCAGATGGCGTCACTATCGATCCGAACATCAGCCGGCTTCTACGACTGGGAGCAGTATCAGAAAGATGGCCGCCCCTGTAAGTGTTGCCGTTATCTTTACCATGTTCGTAGTTTAATAAACGAGGGCTGTATTGCTCGCGACAAAACTATGCTCATCTGGTACAGGCATCCGTATTTTACATAGTTTATTCTACCCAGATAAGTAAAAGTAGGGCGGATCGTGTACTTGCTTAATGACAAGTAATTATAATAAAGTATATATATAGAACAAGTATAGGACTACCACGGTTAAAAACGTACCAATTGAATTGTTAAATAGGTTGAGCGCGATTACCTCTTGGTTCGTTTCCGACTACCTCGGCTCGCAAGCACCTCGGCCCCCGCGGAGCGATCTTTCGTTTCATTCTCGAGAGCGAGCTGCCGACGCAGTATAAGAAGGGGAATCTGCCGGGACCTCCTCGTCGCGACGGGCCTTGCCTTCTGATTTCACAACCATTTAAGAACACGCCGGCGTTGCATGGCAGACCCACGTCACTCTTACACCCTTCAATGCACTGTTCGGACTGCCAGTAAGCTTGTCCTATATGCCACATAATAGCACGTAGACAGATAGGGGGCCCTATCACTAATGCATTACGAATACATATACATGTATTCTTAATGCGATTTCGTAATACATGTATTTCCAATGGAATCTGATCTCTCCCGCAAGCATTACCGATACATACCGTGCTACATTGTTGTCAGCCTGTGATGCAAGCAAGAAAACAACACACGTTTCGCTTACAAACTGCATGAATCGGCAGCCAAACATCACTGGTGTAAAACCTGCTTGAGTATATAATTAGGCATAAATGACTATGCGAAAACGTCAAGTGGTTTTGATAAAGTGTTAGCTCATCAGAAACACTGGAGCATGAATCCGGCAGGTTATAGTCATTTACCCGGCATTCAGTTGACTGTTGGCACAGAAAGAACAAAACGGTTTTTTTCAAAGTTATAAAGTACTACTATATAATGTATATTACCACTATTATGTATAACTATAAATATACGAAGTTATCTCGTTCATGTAAACAACGACCGATTTCATTGCAATTTACGCATCATAATTAATTAATAAATTGATTTATGATAATTAAATTAGGATTATCATTTCTATTAACACCGGACTTTGCCAGTCGCAGTCATTCTTCAGCGATCTACATGATGGACAGGAGGAGTGAGAAGGCGCCAGGTAATGCAGCACCCACCTCGCACGTCAACATACGTGCGAAAACCCTCACCTTCCGCCGACGGACGTCCGGGCTGGCGCTCAGAAGGCATTCAGCAGACGGCGATTCGTACCTGCGCAGATCTCGCCGTTAGGTGCTTGATGGCGGGAGGAAAGAGAGTCGGAATACGTTCGAATACATGTACACAATCGAATGTGACCCCATGTTATGCGCGCACTTCGGGGGGGGGAAAATGGGGAAATTGTCCAAGGTTTACATTGGTTAAGATGGCTCTACGCCGGTGTAGCCCTTCCGCCTCCCTCTACAGTGGGAATTATAGCAGTGGTTTGGTTATCGGTCCTGTCTAGCGAGGA